GTGATAAACAGGTTTGATTCTATTAATATTTTATATTCAATTCTATTCTATTTTGACTTTTTCTAGATTGCACTTCGAGATGCTTTGTTAAAAGATAAACGTCTTCGATAATTGTTTTTCGGTTTTTTTTCAAATAAAAATATAAGAAATAATGATTGAATATCTGGTCAATCTACAACAAAATTGTAGTATTAAATTAATCATTTTCGTTCATTCATAATGCCTCATATAAAATTATGAATTTTTTAAATAATTTGTATGAATTCATTATTTCATTTAGATTTCGAATTATTGATTGAATAGAAATTTTCCGTGTCAAAACAAAACTCAAGTTAATCTGACATGATATTAGCGTAAAAGAATCTTAATTAGAAAATTTGAGCACTTCAATTAAATGCTTGAAATGAATTATCAGTTTAATGATTGATATTTTTATCTTTTTTAATTAGATTAAGGAAAACCAAAACCAAAATGCAAATGCATTGTTTTTAGTATAATCTAAATCCATAGAACACTTTCATTTTTTCTTTTTGTGTTTTTAGCAACTAGATTTGAAGACGTAGAAATTAATTTTATGTCATTTTTCTTATTGAAACACAATTCGACAATATAATCTTTCATCAGAACGTAAATGAGAGTAGAAAAACATACAGCGAGCGTAGAATATGTTAGGTCAGAATTCGAGTATTTTCTGAATGGATGCGCTCTAAACAACTTTCCAAAAATCGCCATAGACTTTTCCAAGTAAATCTCAATGTGCTCCATCCATTGAAGACATTTTAATATCAATTTCAACCCTTCCCTCTCCAAAGTAGCGAATCCAACTGCAAAATACTTTCTCCCTAACATATGTCCCATTTTGACTGCCAATAAATTTATCGAAATCATTATTCATGCAAGTAGAAGCGATTGAAGCTGAGTCTTAATTTTTCTCTATAGTCAATCAGCTTTCTCATCTTTCGATTCTCAAAGATTGACAAATATTAATGCAATATACATTTATTTTATTAATTGAAATTATTCGAGTGAGAATGACTTGTTAGAAAAAGAAATGATTTCAAAAGTAGTCGACTGTTCTCATATTCAACTGAAATTTTATCAATTACTTCTACATAATCAACAGCAATATCTGTCTTAAGGGGTAAGAATAATGAACCTCTGACGTGAGTCTAATATCTAACTTTCTATTAAGTATAGTTATTTTATGAAGTTTTATTTTGCTGAAAACACTTTCAATTGTCATAGATGAAACAGAAATCATCATAGCATCAATAAGAAGAAATAGAATAGTAGGCAACTCATGTTGAGACAATAGCATTTCATCATATAAATCGAATACGTTTTCCTTTGTTTTGGTTACTTTAAGATACATTTTATTAGTTGCATTTAGTTATTCAATAAGCTAGTATCACATTGTAAGATGATGCTAAGCTTTCAATTCTAGCGCTTCTAAAACGGTTCAATTATTATACAGAGGGCTGGCAAAGATCCAGAAAAGTCCACTTTACCTGCAATCCTATGAGAAGTCCCTCACTCTCAACCTAAGTCCCGCCATATGATCTTACTGGTCGCGACACCTGTCCAAGGGACGTTGGGCAGAAAAAGTGACATTTTCTCGGAACTTTGCCACTGCTGGAAAAAGCATATATACAACATGATCGACTTTATACACGATCTTCTCTTGAGAATAAGCATGTGGAATTTGACGTATACGTAATAGTTAAAAATAAAATTCAATTGGTGAGTATTTGAAACCTGAAATTTGAATTCAAGTTTCACGCTTGGTATTATTGTTATTTTCATTCACACGACAGATATCATTTAATGAATTTTTTCGAATTGAGATGTGTCGAACTTGTCAGAATATGCCCTCGACATCTATTCTTCATAGATGTCATCGTTTTCATATGATAAATATTTTCAAGAAAATCAGAAAATTAATATAGAAAAACTTATTGCACTACTAATCAATACCAACAAAATAATGATTTTTTTCAACTAATGTTCATCTACATTAATAGAGAATACAAAAACAAGTTCTTGTCGTAAAAATCTGCACATTGGTTCATATAGCTACTATGCGAAGGTAAATCAATCGAAAATATGCAACAGGTTCAACGTTAAATACATGTGAAGCGAAGTCAATTTCAATAGTGGTTAATATTTGGTGATAGGTATGTTCAGCTTGTTAATTTAATTCAAGTTAATAATTCAACAGCTGATGAACTTACATATTATCTACTTGTTTTATTATCATGATTATAAAGTTGATTGAACAAAAAGAAAAAGTATCGTTTTTTTGACCATTGTATAAGCACGTGATCTCTTTTTTATTTTCATTCCAACGTGTTCTCCTCTACTTTATCCAATTTTTTCACTTTTCTATAATCGTTCTTATAGATCTATGAGGAATTTATTGATTTTTTTGTTCTGTTTTTTTCGTTTCATGTTAATTATGATGATATTTGTTCTTAGCTTAAAGATAAGAGTGAAAATTTTCGCTATGGTTATGACTATCTATTGATGCGACATAGAAAATGGTAGAGATCAGTGAAAATAGAGAATAACTGGAAGAAAAGAAGGATGATGTATTATCTCTTTCTCAATAATATTGTACAGGTATCAATATTATGATCATTCATAGCGTTTGTATTCAATGAATTATTGTGTTAAATAATTAATTTCTAACATTTTTATATTTATACTATTCAATCGATCGGTTCCATAACTGATGAAAAGATAAAGGTCTATTAAGATTATTTTATGCCTCATCGATTCTGCCGTTTACATATTCATTTCTGAATCTGTGAGAGGCGAGCAGCGTGTGCAGCCTTCTGCCAGTGTCGACTAGGTAGGTACAATATTTTACAACCCTTTGGTGTCTTCGCTACAATAAGAATACAAATCAATATCTGCTGCTTATTTTTACCTTGACCTTGATCCTCTCTACTTAAATATAATGATATACATTAAGAGCTGATCGACCTTTTTTTTTGTAAAAAGAAATTTCAGATATGATTACATGAAGATAACTGTTTAATTATCTGCATTGTCTAAAAGTACAGCTTTCTGTAAATAACACGGATATTGCATCGAAGATCAGTACGAGTGATAAAGTATCATTAATCAAAAATTGTTTCAAAACTTTTGAGCATGTTTAAATATGTTCTATATAGTTATCATCATTTTATATTATATTATGTTTCCGCTTTTATAACAATGTACGAGCGCATTCACACAGCAATATAAAGTATTCTTGAAGTGATTCACAGTCACAGTATAATAATATCATCTTGGCGCAAAATGTGACATGCGTTCTGTTATGTATATTATGATGGAAGATTTTACAATGTTACAGAAGCATGAAATCGCAATATATTCGAAGCATAAACAATTTTTGATGGTATAGCTGAAATATCCAATGTGTACACTGTGAATTAGTCGTTAGAGATCAAGTGGAGCTGGGCTTGGAGGAATATATCGTAAAGTGTCTATCGGGGAATTTTGAAAATAATTCTTGATTTTGTTCACAACCGACTTAATTAATGTTGGTGTGAAATAAACCATGGACGCGATGTAAATCACGGAGATGACAAGCAAAAGAACCACTCTTATCCAGTATAGTCCTTCAGATTGCATATTCAATTTATAATCATAGAAAAAATGTTTGATTGCGTCGTCGTATAAATTGGACCATAATGAGGGGATCATGGAACCAAGCCATATGATGATTATGCCTAAATAGCAAATTTAAGAATATATTAGCTTTCAATCTCCTGTCATCATGCGCAAATATAAAAGCACCTGTGAACTAACACAGCTAAGATTTTGATATACTATTTTTATGAGTTGTTCAAAGCAAAACTCAGTGATAGCATAGAAGAAGACATGAAACGAACAGACACAAAGCAGAAAAGACATCCACTCATACATACAAATAGCAATGGTAATATTAATAGATCTTACTATTCAAGTATATTACTATATGGTTTTCTTATAATTATTAGTTGAGCTTGAAGATTTGAATAAACCTATTATCGAAAAAAAGCAAATACATTAGACCACATTCGTTATTACTCCATAGGAGATTTCATCTATGTCACAACATATTATAAACCAAGTTGAACTTACTCCCTATTATCGTCAAAATATTCCACGATTTCGTTGTGCTGGATGATGCTGACATCGAAAGAGATCGAGAATCTGAAACAAAATCTCACTAGTATTACGACAAGATCCATTACAAACTTGATTTCTTACCATTAGAATATACCAGTTTGTAGATAATGTCTTGGTCCCAATTAAATCTGAAATTTCCATTGTCATCTGGTGGTATACTAAAACGACAAAAAATATGGTCATTCATAGATTTTCGACTATAGTTCTTCCTTAAATAGCATACTAAACATCTTGATTCAATTGCTGATCAAAAAAGAAAATCCCAATCGCACCACGAAAGTATATATTTAAATAATCTTTTTTAAGAATATTATCAGCAGCAATGAGAAGACGAGCCGTGCTTTTCTTTCTTTCATCATAAATTTGCACGTAGTCCATGTCGAAGACTTTACTCTAAAATCGAAAAATGAAAGGAACTTGCAATGTCCATTGATAAACTCACTGGAAAAATAACAATCACTATTGTTGTGCTAAAGCAAAACCAAAATGAGAAAAAACCGAGTGAAATCTATGAGTAATTTTATCTAAAATAGAAATAAGAAATCGCAAATAGAAGATTTATTTTTCTGATCATTTGAGTAGGTTGATTAGTGGCAATATCCTGGTTCATGTATATGTGAGTAATTCACTTATGACGATCTCTTACACATATCGATATTATTATTGATTTCTTTACTTTCATTCTAGTTGACGTGAATGTTTATATATGAGATTGACCTTTTCATTAGTTAAGTGGAAAAAAGCGAGATTCGACTTCATGTATCACAATACAAGTTGAAGACCATAGTTATATCAATCGGAGAATTCGAAAACACCGTAAACGCAAAGAAATAAGTGATTGTTGATAATATTTGTATATTTGTAGTGACAGTGCCAATAGTCAGCGGACAGAGCAAAGAAAGAAAACGCGTTAAGCGAATCAATATCAAATGCACTACCTATGGCGCCCCCAAAAACCGACTAAAAAGGTCGAACTTTTAAAGTATCTTAATCGATAGAGAAAATTATGCTGAGTCGAGCTGTGATACTTTAAAAAACAAAACTCACGGTACACCCTCCCAAATAACCGAAATACTGTGGCCAATCAGGCATAGAATATTCTCATTGGCTGATTCAATACGACAGCAATTCGCTTTCGCATTCGCACCTTCTATACAGTATAATCAACGATCAATAATCCCCTTTTGCTAGCCCATTTTTGCACAAATTAAAATTATTTTTCAGCTACGATGATCCTTGTCATCCTTATATTTATTTTATAACATCATTTTTTTTAATTAACAAAAAAGAACTACAATGACTGAATAAATAGATATATGAATGACACAAAATTAATACAAAAAAAAAATCAGGCGTCGTTTCAATTGTATTTTGCTTCATCCCATAGTTCTTCCTGGTCTCAATTGTTGCTCAATTTCTTGATTTGATTGGAGGTAATGGTGTTTTCTAAATGAGAAGTGTACAATAAAATAAAGATATATAAGCGAAAAAATAATCTTACCCAGGTTGGTCAACCACCATTTCTTGCGTCGAAATTACATGTACGTATAGCCATATATAATTGAGGATTAGGCCGGAGAATTCGATGAAGTATAAAGTACCATAAACGACAAGTAGAATTTGTTATACTGGAATTGAAAGCCCAAGCATGAGCATAAGCTTGAAAATGACTTTGTTCAACAGTTTTAAGTAGTTGCGTAAACCATTTTTGAGATATATCGTCAGATGCATTTTCAGATTGTTTGTCGAGTCTTGTTTGAACATTGCTCGTAGTTCTAGTCTGAACGATTGTTGCCATTCACTCCATCATTTTATTGAAAATTTTCGTCTAGTTTGTGTCCACCTGAAAATGTTGATTACAACAATATCGAATATTCAATTGTAAGTTCAATATTGAATAAAACATTTCTTCCACATTTGATGTATCCTTCTATTTATTTTTGCCCTTTTTTCCAGGCAAAATAGAGTATATATTTGTTTTTTTTTCTTCGTTCCGCTCATGTTCACTAACCTAAAAACTCACTCTGTTTAAAAAAACTGCATGTACTTTCGAACTTTTTCTGCCATGATCATCGAGCGTATTCAACAAATGTTTTCTCTGTTGTCTTTATGAATGAAGTGCCATTTGAACAATGTTCGTCCGTCGATGTCTTTTTCTTTTTCTTTCACCTATTTGACTGAGCATAGAGACGAATTGATTCGCTCATGAAGAATAATGAACATATATAAAAGGCAGACAATCTTTAGATAATTCAATATTAATTTCATTTTTTTTTCTCAGAGAAAATGGCTATTGATATGGTAAGCGTTATGTTCATTGTTAGACTTCCTTTTCAATATTCTTCTCTCTACATTTTCATTTCGATCACGGGACATAGTTGATTGTATTTCGATTTCTACAGTTTCAAACCATATCAACCAGTCGAATAACTGCTCTTGTTTCTCTTTGTATAAAGCTGAATATTTAAGATTCAACTTTAGCTAAACATCCTATTTTCTCAAAAGTTTGATTTTTATACAAAGCTTGTTTAAATCAGAATACTTTAATTGATCTTGCTGCATGAGCAATTCTACACCAACTCACTGTTCTATTTGCACATTGCATCGTCGTTCGTATATTTTTTTTTAACAATCATCTTCATTAAATATTTAGATTGTGGCAAATGAAAGCGAAATTAATCGCTTAAATGTATTAATTCAGAACCGTCAACAACTGTACGAAAATGATCAGTTGAATGATGAAGAATATAAACAGCTGATGATTGATTTGGGTCGTCGTGTTATGCTGCAATGGGATGTAGAAAAATTAAAGCTAGGTGAGCAGATATAATCGTGCTGCATGATTATCGCAGATATTTTTCTTTTTCATCTTTAGAACGTGATGGTCGTGCACACTAATCGACGATCTTGCTCTATTCTTTCCGGGTTCTTGTTTTTCTTTACTTTCAGACAAGATTCCTGTATTCAGGCAAGATTCTTTTCGATAGGAAAGTAAAAAGAATCTTGTCTGAATTTCAAGATGACAAGGATCTCGTCTGGTTAATCAGAAATAAAAGAATCAGGCAAGAATCATAAGATATTCAAGATATATTTAAAGTTCAGACAAGGATCTTTTTCTTTTCTTTTAAAAAGAATCTTGTCTGAAGTTCAAGATCCAAAGAATCTTGTCTGAAAATTATGAAAAAGCAGAAACTGGAAAGAAATATAAGATATTTTAAATTTCTTACTATTCAAACAAGATTCTTATGATAGGAAAGAAAAATATTCTTGCCAGCTCTTCAAGATCAACGACACGTGATGTCGCCTTTGTACGATCAAATATATAAGGGCAATGCCTGAACGTTATTTATTCATTATTGGTTCGATAGGTAGTACAATTCACTTTGAATATGTACTTTTCCTAAAGCATTCGTTTTATTCAAACGACNCTCCGAAAGTGTTAATTACTTAATATGGAAAGTTATAATGCTTTCATGAAAACATTAACCATTAATATTAAGTCATTGATTTTAATGAAAACATTAACATTAATATTAATGATTAATGAAAATATAATCCATAATATTAACGAAAACATTACTATTCATACTAATGGTGAATGTTTCCGTTAACCGTTAATACCATTCAAGAACATTGACATTAATACTAATGATTAATGAAAACATTAATATAAAATTAATGCTAATGGCCCACCCCTAATGCTGATTATCAGGAGAATAAAATTAGGTTGAGATTTTTTGGGAAGTCATGTCCGTAATCTGAAACGTCTTTGTTAGTTATGAGAAATAGTAACGTAGGATATCTTAGGTCAGGATTCGACTAATCGAAATTTCTTACCATCACAGGAAGATATTCAATATAGAATTTTCGTTATTTTCTAGTGAAAAATGTATGTCGAATATACAAGATCGTCAATAAATGTTGTCGGTGCATATACGATGTAACACGACAACATAAAAGATCAATTAGCGGTCTAGTGAATATAACAAGATTTGTTTTTTTGTCACCCTTAGGAATGCTTGTGATCTTTACGATCGTTTGCACAACAGTCAATTAAACCATCAAAAGACCAATTTATGTAGTAAGCGGGATGTTAAATTTTACAAACAGAAATGAAATTCATTTGATGTTGATTGCTTACCAATTGTCTATTTCTTACGAATAACAAAAATGACTATAAATAGTAACGATTTTCAACGTTAGAAATCATTCCCCATCTTTCTTTCTCTTCTTCTTACTATATTACATGTATAGTTTATTATTTCACTATTTTAGCTTGTATTCGTCCTGGCTATTGTTCAGTATCATAGGTAAGTATTAGTTTTAGTTCTTTTATTTTATTGTCTCAGCTTTTTATCCCATTTATTTTAATTTTTATATAATTATAATTGTCTTTCTATTATCTATTTTAGTTTCAATTTTATGTTTTCTATTTCTATTTTAGCGATTCAAAAAAGAGTAAGTATAACTTTTTTGTATATATGTATATATTTTACGTCCTACGGAGGCCTTCCATACATCGGCGTGAAACTGGCCATGCCTACCTTGGTGCCCATTGCACGTACAGGCCGCATATAGATCTTCCTGTTGTATGTTCTATACACGCTAGATCTATGTCTGTACGTGAAGAATAGAAAAAGAAACAAACAATGGAAAAGCAATTCACAAGTCTTATTCGATAGAAAATCGTTGAACACGACTATTATCACGATCGGCGACATAGAGATTACCATGTCGATCGAAAGACAAACCATAGGGAAAGTAAAACTGATTTGCTCCTGCTCCATAGCCATTTCCACCCACAATTACAGTGCCTTGATTCTTGTTTCCTTGAGTCCAACGCATGACACGATGATTCCCCGTGTCTGCTACATAGAGTGTACCCAACGTATCAACGAAGATTCCATTAGCCCAATGTAATTGTGTCAGAGCATTCCCGCAGCCTTGTCCTCCAGCGACCACAATACCTTCTTTTGCACCCTTATTCCATTTCATTACACGATGATTGTTGTTGTCTGATACGTATACAGTCTGTTGTCGATCGACAAAGAGATATGTCGGCTCGTTAAGTTGATTGAGTCCATCCCATTTACCATTACCACCAGCTACGAGGGTGCCATTCTTCTCACCCAATTGATATCGTCTTACTTCATGTTTTTCTGTGTCAGAGACGTAGAGATATCTCTGCTCATCCATTGCTAATCCCCAACAATCAATGTTGTCGATGAGTATTTCACCTTGTGTTGTACCACTACGACGAGACCATCGTACAACTCGTCTGCCTTCACAAATAATGAGACTATCTGTCTCTTTGTCAATTAAGACATCAGTTGGATACTGCAATTGATTCAATCCATTTCCTCCGCCGTTACCACCAGCAACAACTTGTCCATTCGTTGTATCACCGTTCTTCCATTGCATGATACGATGATTCCTGTAGTCAGCAATGACCACTGTTTGATCATCATCAACGAAGAGACCAAGAGGGTAGCTGAGTCGATTAGTGGCATCCCCTCTCCCGTTACCTCCAGCAATAGTCACTCCGTTCTGCTTCCATGTAGCATTAGCAGGAATATTAACTAGAAGAGAAAACGTATAAGAATAAAATGAGATCTTTCTCTCTTTCGAAAGTATCGAGTAAAATTCTTTTGAATAGATCATTCTTTCTATTTCTCTAGAAATTCCTCAGAATAATCTATATACTGAAAGATTATTCTATAGAAACAAAATACGTAGTTCTCTCTAATGCTTTTTTTCTTGCATCAAAATAGTTCTATATTTTGCTTTGTATTTTTTGAGAGTCTATATTTTCTATGAACATATATGAGCTTATTATATGCGTACGTTGTTGTATTATTTTCCTATCTTGAGGATGTCAATTTACAGTTTATTTAAATTTAACTTTGTGAAAAGTTAATTTAATTCTAACGGGTGGGCCATAAAGAATTGCCCTCTTAGTATTTTTCATAAATGTACTCCTTTATTCGTATGGTAAAATATCTTTTACTATCATAAGATGGCGCTTGAAATTCTCTATCAGAATATATATGATTGAATTTGAAAATCATTCCGAACACCTGGAACGAAAATTTACCGCGATTTAGCCGGAGTTGTTTCATTATAAGCACAATTAAGTTATGGGTTAAAATGCTCAACCAAACAGGCTCTATCGATCTGGTCATCCACGCACAGTACGAACAAAAGCAAATATCTCAAAAGTTAAATACCGTCTTGCTCAGAAAAAACAGATTTCATCAAGACGGTTAGCTGCTAAGATAAACATTTCACGCACCAGTGCCCGGCGAATTCTCCATGAGGATCTTGGTTGTTTTCCATACAAGAAAATCAAACACCCAAGGTTCACTGACCTTCAAAAAAAGAAGAGGGTTAAATTCTCAAACTGGCTTTTAAATCATTACACCAAAAACGACACCGAAAGATGACTTTTTTCTGATGAAAAATATTTTGATTTAGACGGTGTCTATAATGTTCAGAATGACCGTGTGTGGGCAATCAGTAGAGCAGAGGCTGAGAGACAAGGTGCTGTACACCAAAAAACAAAA